ATAGGTTAAAAACGAATACAAATACTAAATTACTTTATACTTAGACTCTATGCAATCTTTTTCAGTTTGATTTTTTAATACTATCGAATTACAATAATCTAAACATATTTATAAAAACATGATAGCATACATGACAAAATATAATCTTCAGGAGTAAAATGTTTCGAACATACTACCATATACTTCGTAACTTTTTTGCCAATTCTTAGCAGTCGAATCCACTCTTTCCGTCGGTTACATTTCTGAGATTCTCCGAATTCTGATTTACGAAAAATCATCTGTTTTTCATGTGGGAATACATGAAAACTTATATCAGGATCGCGTATGGCTTTGGAATTACAATTTGGAACACAACAGAAAGCTTTACTTTTACTTTTACTATTCATCTCTACTGTTGACAATATACGAAGAACATTCAAACGACCCAGATAGAGTAGTTCTGTTTTTAAACACCAGAGGGCGAGCATCTGGTGAAAAACGCGAATTAGTAAGTAGTCTCTAAATACAAATTTTAAAATTGAGGTTTCAAAGTATGCAATAAAAATGTGCTTTTGAAGCCAATTGGAGTATTTGAAAGTGCATATATGCCATATTATGTTGTGAAAGTATAAATTTAGCAATAATGCTATAGGAACAGCAAAAAAATTTTCAATATATACAGCAACTAAGTGATTTCAGATAGAGCAGTTCAAAAGAGGTTTACAAAATTCCATTCTGGTAATTTGTCCTTATAAGATGAACAAAAACCAGGCCACTCCTCAGACTCCAATGATGATATTTTAAAGGTCTTGACTGAGCAGAATTTATGGCAAACAAGTTAATTAGCAGATAAGACAAACATGTCCTTATCAATCATCACCTCCAAAAACTAGGATATGTGGGTGAGCTGAGAGTTCAGGTTCCTGAGTAGTAGAGTAACCTTCTTGAATGGAATAATTCTGACTGAAGGTTGATAGCTACCTTGCTTTCTTGATATAAAGATGAATTTTTTTGGCATAGATAGTTATGGGAGATGTAAAGTGGCTTGCATATGAAATTATCATTCAAAAATAACGAGTTTACAAGGTTCATCAGCTTCAACTAGACCTGAAACCCATTATGCATGAAAGAAAAATTTTTGTTGTTTATGGTAGGATCATTAAGGAATTATAGGAGTTGTTACCATGCAATGAAACTGTTACTGCAAGTTTATCTGTTCAACAGTTAGATCAGCTTTGGCTAAAACTTCCAAGAAAAGCATACTGCACTTAACAGAAAAGTCACTTTATTACATGACAATGCAAAGATTATCCAAGAAAAAAAATTTTAGAGTGTGGTTGGCCTGTTTTGCCTCATCTATTATTCACCAGATCTGGAACTAATAGATTTCTATTTTTTATGAGCACTGTAGAATGCTTAAAATGGGCAGCACTTCCAAAATAATGACCTGGTTCAGGAGTTTTTTTGATTTAATAACCATCAGAATTTTATGCAAAGGGAATTTACAAGTTGCTTGAAAAAATGCCAAGTCATCAATACTGATGATATAAATAAATATATATATTCACCATCATCAGTTCTGGTTCATTTCAGGTATTAATTCATTAACTGAGTTCGTATAAAATATAAGATTAAAAGTCTGTTTTGTACATTTTAATTGGAAAATAATTTCATTGCAGAATTATGATTCAATCCAATAATCAAAAATACTAATTTTGCATAAAGATGATAAAAGATAAGTGTTGAGTTAGGATTTTTGTTTGGAGGTTGGTTCATATTTATTAAGAACTTCCTTCTATGGTAGTTTCATACTTTTGATTTATATTTAGTAATTAGACCTCTTCAGTATTTTTGCATGGTTTGATTCATCTAATTGTTTTAAAAATTTTGAATTATTATGAATATGTATAGAATTTTGTATCTTTTCTGCTAATAAAAATAGTTGTTTAATCTTTTGTCTTTTACATTTTAAATTCTCTACTTCCAGTTTGATTAGAAAACACTCTTACATCTTAAAATTATGACCAATGATGTATATAATTACTGTAGTAACATTTCAGACTTAATAAATTCATTTATTTTTTAGGTGCAACTGTGAATGCTCAAACAGCAACCAAAGATACAGCTTTGACATATGCATGTGAAAATGGGCATACTGATGTAGCAGATATATTATTACAAGCAAATGCAGAATTGGTATGTGAAATTTGATTTTATATAGTTCATATTTTCATTAACTGAGTTAATTTTTTTTCTATATTGTAAATAAGCATAGTTGTTTAAAGTATGTTTATTTAAAAAGTTTTTCATTGCTATAGTATGTATTCTGTGAATGAAAACTGTACAGTTAATTAAATAAGAATAATTTTCTCTCCTTGTTTGATTACACAAATTAATTTGAAATTATAAAATTTGAGTTATCCAAACTGGAATAAAGTTAACTATAATCAACACACCTTGCTTGCTTTTCCGTAGATAATTGTATGCATTACAAACATTTTTGGCTTTTTTGAGAAGCATGCTTCAGGTTTTTCTTGTTTGAACTTTATTCAAATTTTGAGATTCTATTTTGGAATGCTTCAAAAATTTTTATATGTATAAGAATTTTCAAATATTCAAAAGAAAAGATATTCATTCAAGTTTCAAATTTTGAATTTTTTTTGAATATCTTTTCTTTTGAATATTTGAAAATTCTTATACATATAAAAATTTTTGAAGCATTCCAAAATAGAATCTCAAAATTTGAATAAAGTTCAAACAAGAAAAACCTGAAGCATGCTTCTCAAAAAAGCCAAAAATGTTTGTAATGCATACAATTATCTACGGAAAAGCAAGCAAGGTGTGTTGATTATAGTTAACTTTATTCCAGTTTGGATAACTCAAATTTTATAATTTCAAATTAATTTGTGTAATCAAACAAGGAGAGAAAATTATTCTTATTTAATTAACTGTACAGTTTTCATTCACAGAATACATACTATAGCAATGAAAAACTTTTTAAATAAACATACTTTAAACAACTATGCTTATTTACAATATAGAAAAAAAATTAACTCAGTTAATGAAAATATGAACTATATAAAATCAAATTTCACATACCAATTCTGCATTTGCTTGTAATAATATATCTGCTACATCAGTATGCCCATTTTCACATGCATATGTCAAAGCTGTATCTTTGGTTGCTGTTTGAGCATTCACAGTTGCACCTAAAAAATAAATGAATTTATTAAGTCTGAAATGTTACTACAGTAATTATATACATCATTGGTCATAATTTTAAGATGTAAGAGTGTTTTCTAATCAAACTGGAAGTAGAGAATTTAAAATGTAAAAGACAAAAGATTAAACAACTATTTTTATTAGCAGAAAAGATACAAAATTCTATACATATTCATAATAATTCAAAATTTTTAAAACAATTAGATGAATCAAACCATGCAAAAATACTGAAGAGGTCTAATTACTAAATATAAATCAAAAGTATGAAACTACCATAGAAGGAAGTTCTTAATAAATATGAACCAACCTCCAAACAAAAATCCTAACTCAACACTTATCTTTTATCATCTTTATGCAAAATTAGTATTTTTGATTATTGGATTGAATCATAATTCTGCAATGAAATTATTTTCCAATTAAAATGTACAAAACAGACTTTTAATCTTATATTTTATACGAACTCAGTTAATGAATTAATACCTGAAATGAACCAGAACTGATGATGGTGAATATATATATTTATTTATATCATCAGTATTGATGACTTGGCATTTTTTCAAGCAACTTGTAAATTCCCTTTGCATAAAATTCTGATGGTTATTAAATCAAAAAAACTCCTGAACCAGGTCATTATTTTGGAAGTGCTGCCCATTTTAAGCATTCTACAGTGCTCATAAAAAATAGAAATCTATTAGTTCCAGATCTGGTGAATAATAGATGAGGCAAAACAGGCCAACCACACTCTAAAATTTTTTTTCTTGGATAATCTTTGCATTGTCATGTAATAAAGTGACTTTTCTGTTAAGTGCAGTATGCTTTTCTTGGAAGTTTTAGCCAAAGCTGATCTAACTGTTGAACAGATAAACTTGCAGTAACAGTTTCATTGCATGGTAACAACTCCTATAATTCCTTAATGATCCTACCATAAACAACAAAAATTTTTCTTTCATGCATAATGGGTTTCAGGTCTAGTTGAAGCTGATGAACCTTGTAAACTCGTTATTTTTGAATGATAATTTCATATGCAAGCCACTTTACATCTCCCATAACTATCTATGCCAAAAAAATTCATCTTTATATCAAGAAAGCAAGGTAGCTATCAACCTTCAGTCAGAATTATTCCATTCAAGAAGGTTACTCTACTACTCAGGAACCTGAACTCTCAGCTCACCCACATATCCTAGTTTTTGGAGGTGATGATTGATAAGGACATGTTTGTCTTATCTGCTAATTAACTTGTTTGCCATAAATTCTGCTCAGTCAAGACCTTTAAAATATCATCATTGGAGTCTGAGGAGTGGCCTGGTTTTTGTTCATCTTATAAGGACAAATTACCAGAATGGAATTTTGTAAACCTCTTTTGAACTGCTCTATCTGAAATCACTTAGTTGCTGTATATATTGAAAATTTTTTTGCTGTTCCTATAGCATTATTGCTAAATTTATACTTTCACAACATAATATGGCATATATGCACTTTCAAATACTCCAATTGGCTTCAAAAGCACATTTTTATTGCATACTTTGAAACCTCAATTTTAAAATTTGTATTTAGAGACTACTTACTAATTCGCGTTTTTCACCAGATGCTCGCCCTCTGGTGTTTAAAAACAGAACTACTCTATCTGGGTCGTTTGAATGTTCTTCGTATATTGTCAACAGTAGAGATGAATAGTAAAAGTAAAAGTAAAGCTTTCTGTTGTGTTCCAAATTGTAATTCCAAAGCCATACGCGATCCTGATATAAGTTTTCATGTATTCCCACATGAAAAACAGATGATTTTTCGTAAATCAGAATTCGGAGAATCTCAGAAATGTAACCGACGGAAAGAGTGGATTCGACTGCTAAGAATTGGNGTGAAACACGGAGAAAGTTCATGTAGCATTGCATGTGAAAATACATGAAAAAAGTTAAGACATTTAACATCCAACAGAAGTGAAGTTGGCACAAAGATAGTTGACGAACTAGCTCATAATAAGCAAGTCCTGAAAACCTGAAAAATAATTGAGTTATCTGCTGATGGCTATAGCCTGTCTGGAAACATTTGAAGAAGTGTCATAAGCTTAGTGCATTAGAGAAAAATGAAATGTAGGAGCTTGTCAAATGACCAAACCTATTAAACACAGATGGGTTCTGCATATAAAAACAAAAGCTTTGTAGTATTGAATGCTACAGAGCAGTGGTGCACAAACTATTTTAAATTCCAACCCCCATTTTGTGTAAAATTTTGTTGCGACCCCCTGGATAGATAACGTTTTTTTTTAATTGTCAGCATAGTTAAAATGAAATACTTTCAGGGATTTGCACTTATGTTTCTGCCTTATTAGAGGTCTGAATAAAACACACAATTTTATGAAACAATGGTTATAAATATTTATTTAATGAAAAATACTTGGTAAAGTTCTTTTTTAAATTGTGAGAATTCAATATGAGGTGTGCACTTGCAAAGAGCTCATGATTGCTTCTATGTTATGACTTGTGATTTCCAATACAGATCCTAAGTTCCAATACAGATCTGTATTAGTACTTAATACAGACACTTGATTTACAGCTTGCAATTTTCAATATTAGGTAGTAATACAGACAATTGTTTTTGTAAAAAAAAAAGTAGTTCTGTTTTTATATAGTAATACCCTGAACTTACGTGATAGGTGGGATCGAGCAATAACTGCATAAGTTGGGGTATAATTTCGCATTTAAACGCATACAAATAATTTCTAATTGGGGCCAGAGCTAAAAAAAACAATAATTTAGAAAAAAATGTTTAATAAAATCTTAGATAATACATATGTATAACAAATTATGTTATACAATTTTTCACATTTACTTGATTTATAATTTTAACATTGTTTCCATCTCAGCGATAATCCATGACATTTATGAATTATGCTTGAATTTAAAGATGGAGCATTTTTCACAGGTTCCAGAATTTTTTCTTTGCCAATTCACAAATTTTCATTTTTGTATCAAAGTCTCTAATAATGTTCAACTTTACATTCCAAAGATAGTTTTTCTTTTCTTCTTTGATGCAGAATAATCAGTTCTACTTCGTTTGGATGACATAGTAGAGTCAAGTCTCCATAGATATAACAAACACAGAAATAAATAACACAAAATAAATTGTAGCTATGGGTCTATTCCGCGCGACACATCCGAACATGTAAGCTGAACAATAGTGTAGGGGGAAGTGAATAATCAAGAGTTGCGTGGTGCTCAAAAGACGAATCTACGAGATTTTAAAATCGCGTAACTCGGTTTGCGTAAATCAAGGTATTACTGTAATATATTGGGTTGTTCAGAAAGTAATTTCATTTTTTTCCATGAAAAAAAACAATATTTTTATAATAAATAAATATTTTATTGAATTATATATTGACCATTTTGGCCAAATACCTGTTGTCATCATTTCTGTTAGTAGCATGATTTCATATTCATAAAAGTTTTGATCATTGCTTACAAAAAAATTGATCCAAGTGATTTTTGACGTTGTCATTTCAAGAAAATGTCTTACAGTTTAAAAAAATTTGTATAGACCAGAACAAATAATAATCTGAGTGTGCTCGATTTGGTGAATATGATTGGTATAATAGCATGTCCCACCTAAGTTATAACAGTTTCTGACAAGTAACCAAACTTGTGTGAAATTTGACATTATGTGGTAAAACACTACACCTGTTTTGTTGATCAATTCTGGCCGCCTTTTCTGTTTGATGATGATACTCAATTTGTTTACTCGATGGCAGTACACTTTCGAATCAATTGTTAAATTGTCTGGTAAAAGCTCAAATAAAAAAATTTCCTTAAACTCCCACCAAAGAGAGCATCTCTCTTTAAGAACATGTGGAACTCATATATCGAGCTTTGAAATGAAACCAATTTGTTTCAAGTAATCATAAACGGTTCAATTTGACAAATTTAATCTTAGTGATTTCACGTGTTATTTGGCAGTTTGCTTCAATCAGTACCTTTATTTTGTTTTCATTGGCTTCAACTGGCCATCCAGAACATGGTGCATCTTCAATATTGAAATTGCCAGAATGAAATTTTGTAAACGAGTTTTGGCACTGTCTTTCTGTCAATACATCTTCTCCATACACGTCACACAATTTTTTTTCTCGCTTGAACAGCATTCTTACCTTTTTGGTAATAAGAGAGCAAAATATGCCGAAAATGCTGCTTTCGATCTTCCATATTTGATGGGACACAAAAAATAAACAATTGCACAAAATCAAACAAAATATTTTACAAATAAGCCTTAAATGCTAGCTGTCAAAATATATAATGACAATATGGTTTAGAATGAAAATGGCGGGAAAAATATGACTAATCTGTCTAGTGGTAAAAAAAAGAAATTACTTTCTGAACAACCCAATATTTAATATGATAATTTAATTGCAGCAAAATCATCATATAACACATCCAGATCCAGGGGGAAATGATTGAAAATATATATGCTTGCTGACTATATGTATGTGAATGGATGTTTAAAATTTTAAAAAATTTATGCTGAGAATAGTATCATTTACAAATGTTATGAATTTCTAATGAATTCTGTATGATTTATTAGAGGAAATTTATTATAGTACTGCCAATTCTAAAACAAAAAAAGTTTTTTTTTTTAATTATAATTTTCTAGTCATGTCTAAGAAAACAATTAAATTATTAGTTTTATACTATTTTATATGTTAAAAATTTTAATAAATTTAAACTATAAAATTAAATATCAACTACAATAATAATTGAAGTGTTATTATTCTTCTGGATTATCTGCAAAAATACTCAAATGAAAATTCAACATACTATGAACAGTTTACCTAGATTATAAGAAGAATATCACAAGAAAAATTAAGTTTCAGAAACAAAGAGTATGTACTACAAATTATCATATGTATACAACAAATAATAAACGTTATAAAAATTGTCATAAGCCTTTTAATAAAAAATAGTTTGTTTCTTATTACATATAATTTAATGCATTTAATGAAATT